AAGAAGAAGAAAACCAATAGGAAAAAAAACAAACGGTCTCTTGATACCTTGCAGGCCCTGTAGAATCTGGATTCTGTGGGTCCTCAGGGCACTCATCTCCATAGTTATCTAGAAATGAAGTATTTTGTTTGTTAAGTATTTAAAATCCAGCTTCAGAGACGATCGCTTTCGGTAAACACTCCATCTACGGACCTGCTGTTTGAGCATAAGGAGCCGTTGGACTTCGACATACGCCGTCTGCAGGGCTGCTCGAGCTTGCAGAAGGTTGCTATCCATGCACTGCAAAGACTTGCTTAGTTCCTCCTCCCTCAGGGAGATAGTCAACAGCTGGTCAACCTGGGAACGTTCTGCAAAAGAAACCATAAAGCTTTGCTTAATAAATTAGAGATCTTCCCTTATACAGCTCCACAAAAAAGAACGAGAGTGAGTCATGGAGACTTCCGCAAACCTCACAAACCGTAGAGTGAGCTCTGACGTGATCAGAGCTGGGAAGCTGCCAGAGTGCAGTGGCAGGGCGGTTTATAGGATGTTCGACTCCCACCACTTACCTCACTGCCATCTCCACCAGTAGCCTTCCAGGTGAAGTCTGTCTCAGGCAAACCAAATGTTTAGGTTCCAGTCCCTATTTTTCCTTTATATATCACTCTCTTCACTAAATGCTTTTGCCTAGATTTGAGCCCCAGACATCAACTACTTACACTTTCCTCTCAGTCCACACTTTGCTTCAAACTGTCAGTTAACTTAAAATGGCCTCTTTATGAGAGGCTTACTGACGAAAATACAGCTTTAAACTAATGCATTTAACTTATTTTTAATAAAATGTCCTACGACGTATATGCATTTAACATATTTATATTTCTCATTCATATCCAATATGCCTCCATTCCTCTCTCCTCCATTCCAGACTCACATATTCAACTACCAACTTGGTATCTCCAAGGTCCATGAACTCAAGGTATCCAAAAGGGCATGTGCCATCTTCCTCCATCCTCAGTCTGTTCCTCTAAGGGAGTTCTTCAGTTCAGGAAGTGAAACGATCATCTATCCAGTTGTCTCAGCCCCAAACCAGAGATCATTCTTGACTCCTACACAAGGGCCTACAGGTCACCCAATCACTTCCGGCACTAGACCTTATATTGGAACTGGGTTCAAGTCCAGGGAAAGCAAGAGTCATCGAAGCCGATCAGTGAGGAAGCCATTTTAAGACCTTCTATCCTTAGTTCACATTAGAATAGCAACTAAGCGGTCTCGAGACCTCTTGGTTATAAATGACTAAACACAGTATATCCTCCTTCATCCCATAAAATGGTCCAATTAGACTTCCTAGCTTTATATACAATTTGTCCAAGGGATATAGTTTACAGGCCTATGTGGCAACATATATTTCTAATGCAGCTTTAACCAGATATAATAAGAAATAAACATCTTATCTGCCCTTAAGCAAAACAATAATGTCAAAAAACTAGTAAGTGAACCGTGTTTGGTTGGTAAAATCTATGCTCTGCATCAAGTTATAAAAAGGGTGACTTGCACTGAGACCATCTCTGCCAGAATGAAGGGCACTATACCTTTTTTCCCTTTAATTTTTCTTCGCTTATTTTTTCTCTCAAGACTTGGGAGTTCAGGAGATGATCCATCCTGTGGAGATAAACAAAGGTACTAAAGGGAATAATATTAAATATGTAAGGATTATTAACCAGCAAAGAGCCCGATAATGCAGCAGTTAAACTTCTGTAAAAAAAATGTTTGCCTTAAATCCCTATGGAGCAGTTCTACTCTGTCTGGAGTTTTGTTCTATCCAAAAGCAGAAAAATAATCAAATCCAAGATAGTCAGGCATTATCTTTCACTGTTGTTATTTTCTATATGGTAGATGTGTCATGCACAGGATAGATACTCAAACATTTGTTGAATCAATGTATCTGAGAAAAAATAAAAATGAAAACAGAATCAGAAGTACCAGCCTAGCATCCTAGAGATTGTAAACCCAAACCAAACTCACTACCATCAAGTCAGTACTGACTCATAGCGACCACTGGTGGGTTCCTGAAACTGAATTGTTTATGGGAGTACAAAATCTAGTCTTTCTCCCTTGGAGCTGTTGGTGGTTTTGAACTGTTGACCATGTGGATCACACCCCAACTCGTAACCACTACACCACCAGGGCTCCAGAGGTAGTAAAGTTTATACTACAACGGATTTGGGCAAACCAGTGCACTTCAGTGAAGCAGGAGATAGATAAAAGTATAAACAAAACAGTAATATTTTACACCTGATTTCATGTTGGTATAGTTTCTACTTTAAGCTTTCAGGTAGAAAATCTTAAATAAAAAGTTAAACAGTCCCAAGATAAGAGTCTTGTCGAGGAATTAAAAAAAAAAGAGTCTTGTCATAGGACAATCTCTAAATTTAGAAGGGACTTCAAATTATCCAACAATGTCCACTATATGGTGTCCAGCTCAAAAAGGCAGATTGACCATCAGTCTGAAACTCATGTTCTTTACTACTCTGCTATACTGCGCCTCAGTAATAAAGGAAACTGTCTGTTTTCTCACAGTGCCAAGTTCCAGACATGCAACTCTGTTCAGAAAGGGCTTCTGGAAGGGTTAAGCAATAATAAAAGAGATCCCAAAAAAGAAGTGGTGACCAGTAAAGGAACAGCTTATAAAAGGGCCAGGTCCCAATAAAATTATTAATGAAAAAAGCGGGGGGAGCAGGCTGGGTATTTGAAGGACAAAATAAGACACAGTAGCAGACACTTGAAATACTTGTAAGCCTACATTCAGTTAGTGCACTCTCATAGTACTAAGGCCATCCTGAGTTCAACAATCACATACGCCCTGCAAACGCAACACGAGCACGCCTTTCTTCAGTAGCAGTGCAGACTGCATCATGCAGACAGACAGAGTTGCGGCTGAAGATGTGGCTCACTCCCGGGTCAGGCTAGTTTTAGAGATGACTTCATATTTTCCTAGTACTGTACATTCAGATTAGATCACATCTAACTTAGTGGAATTACTCAGAGAAAGAAGTCAACAGGGTAAGAAAAAGAGCTTCCACAATTCTAAGCCAGTCAAAAACGGCAGGGAGAACTACAAACCCAGATTACCCAAGAACAACGAAGCCATCAAACCGGTCCCAAAACAGACAAATCACGATCTCTTATGTTCGACAAAAAACAGGGGATCATACTCACTCCCGTGGCTCTGCGCTTCTTTCTGATGCTCTGGCCATCGTTTTGCTCAGTGCCCGACGTGCAGCTGCTGTCTGTGGCTGCGTCCACCAAACTGGAGTTTGCAAGGACTAACGAGGTATTGGAGGAGTTGCCTTCCCGGTTGCCCTCTTGTGTGTTCTGATTTTCTGAAGGTGGTGTAGCACTCTCGCGGCTGCTTAGGCCTTTTGCCAAATGCATCAACGGTATTGTATAGTCAGAGGGTAATTGTGTACTATGACGCCTTCGGGTAGTCACACTTTCGGCCATTTCACCTATACCCAGGGAAGCAGCCATAGGGGTTGTTTCCTGTTTAAAGGCCTCGGTCGCTTTCTGACCCTGGGTAGCCCTCAGTGAGGTACCAGGTAAAATCATCTGCGGGGGCTCGTTTTCTCTGCCTGCATCTTCCTCACCAAAGAAGCTATACACAGGGGCTCTGTCCATGATCACGCTGCTCTCCGACAGGCTCCGTTTCCTTGTCAACCCCGGAGGCGAGGGGATGGAAATACCTTCCCACTGGAATCCTTCTAGATTGGACAGGTCAGGCTCCCCATCCAGATCCAAGACCTCCTGCTCATTCTGAACCAGGGGCACCATTTCTATGCCAAACCTTAAGAAACAAAAACAGGGAAAAAGCATAACTCAGACACAGTTTGGCAGGGGGTGGGGAATGAGTTTATAATTCAGACATGGATGGGGTGGTGGCAGTTACTGTGTCAGCCATTAAACAGCAGAATTCGAAAATGAGTAAAACGGCCCTTGCCCTTTACAGTGCACAGTCTAATAAAGAGATGCAGGCGTGAAGTAAGTAACTGTAGGATATGACAAGGGCTTGGTTACGAGATCGGTATACAGCTATGAGAATACCTTTGAGTGAGCAGTAAATTTGGATTTTATTTACTACAGAGCTCTAAACCAACAATAATAGTAAATGCATAGTCTTTTTTTTAATGCATAGTCTTAAAAGCTGCAAAGAAACCAATATTAACAACAACGATAAACTTTTATTGCGTGTTCATAAGCAGCAAGCACTTTACTAAGACTTTTCAAGTAATAACCATAAACGAGAAAGTGAAAAACAACAGAAAAATGACTCAACTATTTCCACATTGATAGAAATGTCTGTCCCCTCAGCCAGGAAGGCTATGTAAGTAGAATGCAGAACTGTGGCTTTCAAGCAGCAAACCTCTGCTGAGCACTGCTTTACCATTCAGAAAAGCCTAGTGCCTCGATATAAGATGAATAGCAAAAGAATGACACAAGTGTTTACCATAAACCATTTCTGATCGGAGAGTCCACCCAGAAGGGTAACGATCCTAAATAAAAGGCAACAAAGACAGCTATACTTGAAAGTTACGCCACTCATTCTAAACGTTAAGATTTAAAACTAGAACCGATATGGATTTATATACTTCTATACGCTGTCAATTTCTAGTCCCAATAAGCAAAGTGATGGATTTCAGACGCCACCCCCACCCCTTGTCCCCATTTTATTTTCAGAAATAGCTATGCCTCTTTTTAACCTGAATTCTCTTCTAAGAAACATTTCCTCACAGGTTAGCAGGCACTCTTCGTATTTAATATGTTTACACCAGACTTCTACAATGTGTATATCGTACAATCATTTAATTAAATGTAACAAGCAGAATTCTCATGGCCATGGTCAAGAAAGGAAAACTTTAAAAGAAAAAAAGGGACCAAGAGCTCACAAATGATCAGGCAGATGGATAGATAGGGAAAAGCAGCACACACCTGGGTAAACCTTTGCCCAGTTCTTGCTTTTTCCTGGTTACTTGTTGAATGACCTGTTCCCAGTTGACATTTCTCCGAGATGCATTTAGGATCTGCCTGAGGGTTGGCTTGAGGCCAGATTCCTTCTCCGTCTCACTCTTTCGGTGCCCGCTGATGTTGCGAATGCGGCGTGCACTGTTGAGGTTTGGCTCCGGAAGGTGTACTCCAGTCTTGCTCTTCAAACTGATGTGCCGGGTTAGATCTCTCTGGAGAGAGGCGGGAAAGCCCAGTTTACTTAGTTCAGGCAGGAGAGGGCCGGAAGCCTGCCCTAGACCATTTTTTTGAAGCTCTGCATCCAAGCTAGTACCTTCAAAGCCTTCGGGTTCATAAGAGACATGACATTTAACAGGGTCCTCAACCTGTGCATCCTCCAGAGAGGGCTTTAGGTCAAGCAATAAGCTGGGGTGAGGACGGCCTGCAGGTGCCATGTGTAACTCAGATTCTTTCTTGTGAACTGTGGAATTACATGGGGAGCTGGACAGTTTACTAGATGTTTTCAGGGTCTGGCCAGCCCCCTCTTGCTCATCAGCAGGATGCACGCTGCAGGATAAAACTTCCAGAGTGGAAGAGCCCAGGGTTCCGATTTTGGTTCCGTGCTTTTCAGTGTCGGACATCACTCCGTCACTTTCGTCTTCTAAGGTGTGGGCCTGAAACTCAATCTTCAAAGACCCCTTTTCAGACTCCTCTACATTCCTACTTGCTTTTGCACAGCTCCTGGTCCTTTTAGAAGCAGTAAGCGATGGTTTTTGCATGGACTCATGACACTGTGGCATCTCTTTGGCATTTTGTAAAGGATCACTTACATTTTCACCACTCTCCCTTTGGACACCAAGTGCACTCTTACTCCCTTTTAACACACTGCGCAGTTTGGACGTGTATGAACTACGCTGCTCTTCTAATATGGGCTTGTCCAAGGGGTGTGCGTGTTCTCCAGGAAGCAGAAAATTAGTCTTGGTGCTTTTGGAGGGATTCTTTGGTTCCTGTTTTTGAGGAACTGATTTAGTGGCTGGAAGTGGAAGGTGTACAGGTTTCAATGGTGGCGTCTGACTGGAAGAGGTATGCTCTTGTTCTGATTTTTCTGTGACGGGGCAATCTCTTGTCACCTCATAAGAAGCTGTGCAGTCAGAAGAGGCTTTGTGATGAGAATACTCCATCTGTGTTGCAGTTGGCGTTTTGAGCAAGGGAGAATTACTTGTTCCGTCAGTTTGGGGCTCTGGTGCTCCTGCAGCTGTCTGGTTAAAATCACACAGGGGCTTGTGCGCCTTCTCTGACTTATTACCAGTGCAGTCTTTCAGCCGCGGCTGTGAATCCACAGTCTTCTGGGGAGGGTAAGGTGTCCAGCGATGGGCCTTTTCCTTTGCTCCACTGCCATTCTTTCCACCAGTTCTGGGAGACATGGTATCTGTTTGTTTAGGGGCTGGGCTTCCCAGATGTTCAAAATTGAAGTCAAATAAAGCTTCAGAAGAAAAATTATCATTTGCAAATCCTGCAGGAGAAGGGTATGTGGCAACTGTACCAACTTTGTCATTTTCTGGCCGTTGACAATTATATCTCTCTTGGTTGTATTTGTTTGACTTATTAGATTTCTTGTTCCATACTAGCATGTCTTCCATTAGACAGTTAGGATTTCTGTTTCTGCCTGGTTGAAATTTGTCTCCGGGGCCACTGTAATTCCAACTATTTGTACCACGTACACTGGGTTTCCAGTTTCCGTTACCGCTATTCATATGCCAACTGGAAAAGCCACCTGTCCCTTCAGAATGCCAACTGGAATTCCTTCCTGTACCATTATGATTCCAATCTACTGTTCCATTATTTGAATGCCAACCACCTCCAGAATTACTGTGATTGTGAAACCACACCGAGGAGCCTCCTCCAACACCCTTATGCCACCCGGAACACCCTCTTTGTCCACCACCATTTCTCGAAGAATGTGGAAAGCTGTTTTTCCTAGGATTATTAAAGCCATCTTTATCCCATTTCCGATCCCTTGGAGGCGGTGCACGATGGTGCCACACTGGCTGACTGTAACTCTCTCGTTCTTGGTATGGGAACCGGTCTTCCCGTCTCCATGGGGGTCGTCTATCTTCAGGGGTTTTTTCTTGGCTGCTACTGGAAGCTTCTTCTTGCCTGGAAGAAAAAATAGTTTCTCTTTAGTGACTGACAGAATCCCTTATGCTTCCTTTAAAGCATAACCCAACTACCACCATAACCCCACCCCATTCCTCTTGCTTATTACTTAGAATATGTAATAGAAATTCTTTTTATTTCTAATTCTAGTTTTCATATCTTTAAATCATATGTTTACACCTACATTTTCAATTTAACTTAAAATTAAACAGCATCTTCTTTCCCTTAGCATGCCCAGACATACTTAAAAATTGACACATGTGTTCTGTCCCCCTTCACTCCTGGTGCTTGCTTCCTTTAATGTTCTGGAATTTTGTTCCCATCTACCACCCCATTATAATTTTCACACTATTCAATAGCTTTTTTATTTTATTGGCTATAATTAGTTATCATGATTAATAACCATTTTATGTTCAGCTGCCTTTAAAAATATGATTTCTCCTATTGTAAATTCTTTCTGAAAAATCCTGTTCCTTAAGAGTTTGTATGGTCATTTTCATAGTAAACACATTATTAAGCACCCATTATACTTAAATGAGCAAATGTTATTGGTACAGGAAAAACATATATATAGTTCCTGTTCCTGAATGGCTTAGAAGCTAGCGGATCGAATTAATAAGGTGCACTAAAACTTGTCATGGCTGTGGCATGGATCCCAACTCAAAGCAACTGTACAGGCAGCATGGAAGTGCCACAGACACTCAAGGCTAAAAATCTTCGTGGAAGCCAACTGTGTGTCTTTCTCCCATGGAGCATCTGATGGGTTCAAACTGCCTACATTTCAATTAGCAACTGAGCACTTAAGCACGGTGCCACCAAGGCTCCATTCAGGTCACAAGCAGAGGTGAAATAGTTTCCCCAAGTAAGTACTACCACAAGAAGTCCTAAAAGGGGCTCCATGAGCTAGAGCAGTGGCTCTCAACCTGTGGTTCACAACCTCTTTGGAGGGGGGGTGGTTTGAACGACCCTTTCACAGGGGTCGCTTATGACCATAGGAAAACACATAAATATTTCACAATATATAATTACATATTGTTTTGTGATTAATCACTATGCTTTATGTTCAATTTGTAACAATGAAAATAGATCCTGCATATCAAATATTTACATTATGATTCATAACAGTAGCAAAATTACAGTTATGAAGTAGCAACAAAAATAATTTTGTGGTGGGGGTCACCACAACATGAGGAACTGTGTTCAAGGGTCGCAGCATTAGGAAGGTTGAGAACCACCGAGCTAGAGACTTTCATAAAGAAGCTATAGCTGTGTGTTCGCTCTATTCATGTTAGACACAAATGAATCTAAGCAAATACCACAGGCACAGGTAGGAAATCATTCTCCTCTACAGAGTGCCTATGCTTGTGCCTAGCAGATTAAAAAACAAACACTGGGAAAACACTAGCTAAAATGTATTCAGTACCAACCGTGAGCCATTTAATGCTACATACGGTATACAAACAAAATCCCATTTAACTTTTACAACCATGAAACATGTACTCTTATTCCTACTTTTTGATATAGAAACTGATCTTAAACAATGTACTCAGAGTTAAGCCAGGCAGAAAGTAATGGAGCAGATGTCCGAACCTTGGTGTTTGCCTCAATAGAATTTATACTCTTTTAACTACTAGGCCTTGACAGAATGAAAATCCCAAAGTTTCTGTGATTTGGTTCCTTCCTCTGAACTTGGCTTCAGTATTAAACTCAGACTAATTTTAATTCACTTTTAGAAGTTTTTAGTGTTTATAAGATCATGGGCATAAATTAGAACCTCTTCCTTTTTTCTTTTTTCCTTTTTTCTAAAGATGGAATTAAAAGTTAACTTATCCCAAATCCAAGTCTCATTTACATTATGATTTATAACCACTTCTAAATAGGAAACCCTACATTGCCAAGTGACAAGTACTATCACAACCACTAGCAAGAATTCGGTACCACTGTCATTGCTTTAAGAGTGGTGCAAACGGTTAAGTGCTCCAATACCAGCAAAGGCTGGCAGTTCAAACCCACCAAGAGAAACTGCAAAAGACAGCTATGGCAACGTGCCAGGCTTGACAACCCTACGCAGCAATTCTACTCTGAGCACAGGGGATCGTGAGAAATTGGACTTGACTCGAAGGCAGCTCGCAACACACAGCACCACAGCTTTAAAGTCGAGCTGCTAAGTAATATTTGGCAGCCAAGACGGCCACTGCCTCGGCGACACTAACGTGATCTAGAACCAAACAATAAATCAGTCACAAGGCTGAATTCCTAGGTCACTGTGAATTGACGAAATCACAGCGGCAGTAAGTAGCATTCAGCTCAAACCACAACCAGAAGGCACAATCTACAGGCAGATGGGTTTATAAGCAGGTCACCAAGGAGGCAGATCAGGAGATGCAGTAAAAAAAATAGTAACTATGATCAGCATGTCTAATTTACTGAGATGCTCTTTTACTGCCTGACTTAATGTTTAGTTGTTTGCACAGATAAGCTAATAATGGCACTAGTTATAAAAACAAAAATAGACGTTAGTCTCGGAGAGGCTCCAACTCCTAACACAAGAGCCAGGGCCAACAACAGCAACAAGAACCTCATCTCAAGGACAAGGCCACTCACAACCGAAAAACCATGCTGCCAACTTCTCACACAAAGAATCTACTTTCAGGAGCTTGCTCCAAACCCCCCCGCCCCCCAAAAAAACTTTATATATATATATATATATAAACACTTTTAATGTGCAGAATGAAAGCTACTCCTGTTTTATATTTAAAGTTCCAAACAAAAAGGAGGTACAGAACACCTATAACTAGTATTCAAATAAGTTATCTTTATAATTTTATCTTAGAACAAATGATTTTTTTTTTTCTCATCAAGTCTTAAGACTTGAAAAAATACCCCCCAACTAATCACAGGTTGCATCTCATTAATTAAACCAATTAATTAAACTCTTTAGAGCAGTAAAATGCAAAAACCTAAAATTTGAATAAGTAGCTATAGGAATAAAAAAATTCCTTATATTAGAAAACATGTAATGTTCAAAATGATCTTCACACTGTCAAACATATATAAAAGTATTCAATAAATATGTATGGGTGCACTTAGTTTGAACCAAGCACAACAGTAGTCATCGAGCACATTAAAAGGCAATAGAAAGATAAAATCAAATTTGGCAAAAGCACCATATTATTTACATCAGGTAAAAAAAGAAATTCCTAAGACATGATTTTGGCAAGAAATATTATGTAATTTGTTAAAATGAAATTTATGCATTAAACATAGCCAATTATCAAAAGACTAAAAACTTCAATCTGTAAAAGCCCCCCAGTAAAATGATTTTTTTAAAAATCAGATAAGCTTATGGAGGGCCAATACTGAATTTGTGTTTGAAGCAGGTAGTACAGTAACTCAAAATTGCACATGTTTAAGTGCTTGGCACACGTGTAGCACATGTTTAAGTGCTTGGCTGATAGCCAGAGGGACTGGCAGTTCAAACCCACCAGAACCCATCAGCAGCTCTGAGAGAGAAAATGCGGCACTCTGCTTCCATGAAGAACTGAGCCTTGGAAACGCTTTGGGACACTTCTACACAGTCCTAGAGCGTAGCTGTAAGTTGGTACCAACTCAGGGGCACTGGATATAGGACAGCCACTCAAGAAAACATTCTACGACCTTTTGATGCGTGAGATAGCAGCATCAAGCTACATTTTATAAGCAAGATACATATTCTATTTCAGATGGGCAGTTAAAAAAAAAGGCGAAGTCATGACTTACCGACTTTGTTCTTTCCTTTGCTTTATTAATTGGACCAGTTCCTTGTCGAAATAATCTTCTTCTTCTTCCTCTCCCTTTCCATCGTCTTCTCTTTCCTGAGCATCCACATTATCTTTGTGCAACTGGCCAGAAACGTGCTTTGCATATGCAGAGAGACCCACTTCTGTGACCCCGCACACTCGGCACTCATGACTACTGTCCCTAGGGAGAGAGGGAGATGAGGGACATTCAATTCTCCCCACTGGCATGGCACACTCACCAGATCTCGTAGTGTTTCCTCTGAAAGACGATGCACGCTTTGGCCGGGTAAGAAATGGATGCTAATCAATTTTAATGCTCCTTTCATCACTTTTAATAGGTTTGCTCTTAAGTTAGTTTTCAAATAAATTTAAGATTCTTTTTCCAGCAATCAAGAGGCGAGACACTTCAGAATGATGTCATTTGGGGAGAAATCTTCTTGAATTGCTGGACTTAAAATCTTGCCAGAGGAAACATGGTGAAAGGGAGGCAGGGCAGGGGGCTCAGAGCATACAGGAGTTGCTCTGGAGCGCACCCATGGTGCCAGCTGCACTCAGAAAGCCTGGTGACGGTGCTCACATTTAATCTCTGACTCAAGAGCTTTCTTCTCCCAGTGAAAGTGAAGGGGTGGAGAAAAGAGTGGGTGGCACAGCCAATCTCAACTGGGTAACTAAATCGGAACAGCTGGCACTTGGCCTGGAATGTGAAGATTCCGGACTGAGGGCAAATGACAGGACACTTTTTTGGTTCGATGATGCATGTGGGTCTACATTCTGCTTCACAAGGGTTTATTTTCAAGGGAATGGAAAGCATTTCAGTTGTAGGAAGTTAACAGCTGTGCTAAGCAAATGGTTTCTCCAGTTTCAAAAATGCTACTGTGCAGAGACTCAAAATGAGGTTTTCAGTTAAGGAAGAAAATTAGGCAAACTGTTTTCTTGTACTTTATCTCATACTTGGCCAATTTAAGAAACCAGAGTCTTGGGTCGACGATGTCCGGAGCAACAACAGCTCAATAATTCCGTTAAGTTTTAGCTTCCTGAACTCCTTTGATTGGTTCAGCTGTCCAAACAGTCATCCGAAACACTGAAGACCATGGTCACAGGACAGTAAGACCCACTGAATACTCCAAATCACCTTACCCCGGTATCATGTGTCTTGGGTTTATACTAGTGATATTTTTGTACTTCCTAGGCCAATCTATTAAGGAGATCTAGTGGTGGAGTGAATTAAGAGTTACGCTGTAGTTCAAACCCATCAAGGATAAAGATGAGTCTGTCTGCTCCCGTAAATATTTACAGCCTAGAGACCCAAAGGGGCAGGCAACTGTCATATAGGGTTGTTATAAGTAAAAACTGACTCAGTGGCAGTGAGATGACAAATCAAAACAACAAAAAAATCAACACAGAAAAACATGCTATCCGATGTAGCAACGATGAAAAACACAACTTTCCTCTAGTTCCTAAATGTTTCCTCCCCACTCCCACTATCATGATATGAATTCTACCTTGCAAGTCTGGCTAGACCAGAGGAGGTACATTGGTACAGATAGGAACTGGAAATACAGGGAAAACAGGGCAGATGATCCCTACAGGACCAGTGGTGTAAGTGGCAATACTGGGAGCGTAGAGGGAGAGTGGGTAGGAAAGAGGGAACCTATTACAAGGATCTACATGTGACCTCCTCCCTGGGGGACGGACAACAGAAGAAAAGTGGGTGAAGGGAGACGTCGGACAGAGCAAGATATGACAAAATAAAAATTTATAAATTATCAAGGGCTCATGAGGGAGGGGGGATTGGGGAGGGAGGGGAAAAAATGAGGACCTGATGCCGGGGGCTTAAATGGAGAGCAAATGTTTTGAGAATGATGAGGGCAATGAATGTGCAGGTGTGCTTTGCACAGTTGATGTATGTATGGATTGTGATATGTCGTATGAGCCCCTAATAAAAATAAATAAATAAATGACCAAAATACAAAATCAAAAAAACCCTTTCTCCTCAACCTTTTCTCCAGTTTACCAGAGATGGCCATGGTATTTCTCAAGTAATTAAATTTATAATAGTTAATTCAAAGTGATGTTAATTTGCAACTCAAGCTGTTTCTCACAGCAGTATATTGGGGGTGGGGGGACTATTTATCTCCATAACGGGTAGCATCAGAAGAACTCGAAGACTACAGAAAACATAATTTATGCAATTCTAAATTTTTTTTAAATTACACAATGCTATTTGGAATTTTAGTATAATCCTTTAAGGGCAATTTTAAATTAAATCCCTGATTTTACCCAAACCACCAAAATTTCTCTTCTCTTAAAGACACAACAGAGTACAAGCCCCCAATAAGATGATTAAAAAAATAAAATTAACGTACACAATCTTCTGAGAGAGAAAAAGACAACAGAAAACCACAGTGACTTTTAAAAACTATTACAGGAACATCATGTAAAGTATTGCGAGGAGCATGCAAGACAGGGCAGTGTTTGAAAACTGCTGTACAAAGTCACTAAGAGTGAGAAGTGATTCAATGGTACCTAACAGCCACCACATAACGTAGACAGTATTTGGTATTTAACTCCTTTTAAAATAAGCATTCCGTTTTTCATTTTAATTTAAGGATACACTTGTGTTCCTTTCAATTTGAGAACTTTGTTTTCAGCTGTTTCAATTAGTAACTGTGAGAGCTGAAGTTTTAAGATGCTTCATTTGTTGAATATTTTTTTTATTAAAGACTTCTAAGTCGTTTTAAGAAAAATGAGACCTACGTCCCCACCCCCAGCCAGTCCAAGGGCTCTGGGGCTCGGTCAAGGGGTGTCCCTCTGGGACATGGGGGTACAGTGAATGGTGTGACCCTTTAATGGGCATGCCGACACAGTAGGGCATGCTGGGCCCCTCTAAGGTTTCCCGTATGGGCTCCAATGTCTTCCCTTTTGCTGAAAAAAAAGAAAGAAAAATGACACCTATTTTTGGAGGTCATATTTAAAATAACTTCATAAATATTGTAGAACATTGAGGGTGATTTTCAAAGGACTTCCTTAAAGGCTCAAGCATTTTGAAAATCTTATTGACATGCATCCCTAAGGAAGAAAGTGAATCCTTGTCATGTTGGAGAACTTTTAGATTAATCACAAATTTTTTCTAACTCATTGTGTGTATACATATATATGTATATTTATATATACATATATATAAATCTTTAATTACTGACAACTACTTTTATTTTAATTGTGTATAAGTTGGGTTTTTCAGCATTTTATTTATTTTTAATCGTTTTATTAGGGGCTCATACAACTCTTACCACAATTCACACATACATCAATTGTGTAAAGCACATTTGTACATTCATTGCCCTCATCATTCTCAAAACATTTGCTCTCCAATTAAGCCCCTGGCATCAGGTACTCTTTTTCCCCCCTCCCTCCTCCCTCATGAACCCTTGATAATTTATAAATTATTATTTTGTCATATCTTGCCCTGTCCGACGTCTCCCTTCACCCACTTTTCTGTTGTCCGTCCCCCAGGGAGAGGTCACATGTAGATCCTTGTAATTGGTTTCCAACTTTCCAACCCACTCTCCCTCTACGCTCCCAGTATTGCCACTTACACCACTGGTCCTGTAGGGATCATCCGCCCTGGATTCCCTGTGTTTCCGGTTCCTATCTGTACCAGTGTACCTCCTCTGGTCTAGCCAGACTTGCAAGGTAGAATTGGGTTCATGATAGTGGGGGGCGGAGGAAGCATTTAGGAACTGGAGGAAAGTTGTATTTTTCATAGTTGCTACATCACACCCTGACTGGCTCGTCTCCTCCCCGAGACCCCTCTGCAAGGGGATTTCCAGTGGCCTACAAATGGGCTTTTCCAGCACATTTTAAATGCAGTTTTTGTGGTAAAATTAGGTGCATCGCTGATATTCGGGTCAGCTTATACTCGAGCATATACGGTAGTAAAATACAGTATCCTTCTGTGGATGCAATTATGAATTATGTATGTACCACTTAGGCACAAGTTTCCTATTTAGTAAGAATATTTTCTAATTTTAGTTTTGTGTCATACTCAAACAAAATTTGTATTTTTACCATAAATACTGTAATTTTCTTCAGTATTGAATAATTAAACTAAATTATATAGCATCCATTACAACGATTTTATTTCATGTTTTTAAAAAAATAATAAGCACTCATAATCATAAACCCACACACTTTGCAACTCCCAAAGCACAAGCATATGTTGGACAATCAAACAAATGTTTTTTAAGTTCTATTTTCCCTGTAAGAATATAACCACAGTTCCTGATTTATGAAGTAGAAATCTTCCCAAAAGGATATAAGGCAGTAATTTTAACTAAAGACTAGTTCTCAAAAAACAGAAAGCTCTAATAATATCCCGATGAATGAAACCCACTTTAAAACGTTACAGGAAACCTCAAAGGGGGGCGGGGGGGAGAATCTAGATGTCCAAAATGAAATCACAGAGTAGGACATCCACATCTGAAAACTCAGGTATGTTTGGAGGGTACCTCATTAACTCTGTTCTGCTCACAACATCCACTCTTGCTTGCACATGGAGGATTTGGAAACCACATGTTTTAGATCGTTAAGAGTAAATTGATTTTTTTAATGATGCTATATCCTAGTTCTCCAGCAATGACCAGTTAAAACTACTTACTGCTATGCATACATGTGTAGGGTAACTGTAAAGAAAGAGCATTGCTATGCTTCTTGGCTAATAAAGGTGTTCTTTGTCTTCAGGGTGTGTAAAGAAGGGCTCCAATTAGCTTCATCCTAATCATACAATTTCCTTTCCTGTGTGAAAGGCAAAGGCTTACAAAAGTTTTACCTCAAAACTTTTCCTTATTAAGCTTCTCTATAGCATTGACTCGATAGCAGCGGTTTATATCACAACTAGAAACAGCTTACATGTCTTTTTACAGCATCTATGTTTAGAAACTACTTATACATTTATAGTAGGTCCCACATTTAAGCATTAGGGAAAAAGAAAGAAGTGTTCCAGACATCCACAATTGCGAATCAAACGAGATGGTACTTATTTCTCATTCAAGCTTGCACTCACAATCTGAAAAAAGAGACTTAGTACAAATTTAACCGGATCACAACCAAACACCTCAGAGATGAAAGCACACAAGAAAGCTCCAAGGAAACAATCAGAATATGCGGATCGTGAGAAAGGATAACAGTAATAGATGACTGTCTGTATGGTACTTGTGCTTATGAAGGTCTCCTGCTACAGTAAATACCCCAAGTCACTAAGCTAGCTGTTTGAGTTCTTGTTTATTTTAAAATAACTTTATCCACTGTTTTTTTGTTACCTGCTGGCCCTCTCCATTTATAATTTTGTTACAGGCCAAGAAACCAAATAAAAATTGCTGGCACTATTTCTAAAATATAAGTAAATCGAAAAAATATAGATAAGTAAATCAATTTAAATGTAAATCAATTAAAACGCTCTCCTCTACACAAAGCGAATTTGGCTGCTAAAACTGACATATCAGAAGTACAAAGGCTTTAATGCTTTCTTCGTGATTATTTGACAGTAAACTAACTGAAAATGTAGGTGAAATTTATACAGCACAGTAAAAATGGGGGAAGAAAAAAGAAGGGACAAGTTATAGAACAATGGATATGTAGTTTATGGTTCACTTATGTTCATACGACAAAATGTGTATGTGTATGTAAACCTAAATCTATTTTCCTAATCACTCGACTTATGGACTTGTTCTATTTTACCTGTTAGAAGTATCAGGTAAGTAGCTCAGAACAAAGTGAGTCCAAAGGAAGTCTACTGGGAGTGGAGTGCTGTCTCTGTACTTGTCTTCCTTAACAAATTGGTATGGCCAGTTCCCTATTTTCAGTCTTGTAAATGTGTTTTATGCTGGACACTTCTCTCTGGGTTGACTCCTAGGTGGTATTGCCATGTGTATTAAACTCAGGTTGTTGCCCACCTTGTTCATTCTTGGTCCTCTGTCCTGAGAACTCCCTTTAGTATTTCTTGTACGGTTGGTCTGAGTTTTATATGTTTCTTTTCTTTCTGTTTATCCGGAAATGTCCTAATTTTGCCATTGTATTAAAGGAACAAGTTTGCCGGCAGTATTTTCTTTCAGAGTTTTACGTCATTTCATTGCCTTCTTACCCACATGGTTTCTTCTGTCAAGAAACTAGAACATACTCTTACTGGATTCTTTCAGGATCCTATCCCTATCCTTGGTTTTGCAGTTTTGATTATATGAGGGAGTACCCCCCAAGAAACTAAATGTATTTTCAAAGCCAAATGTTTAATTTTTATTTTTAAAAACAATCTTATCACCTCTAAAGTACTCTCCATTACACTCAATACATTTGTCAAATGTGAGATTCCATTCTTGGAAACATTTTTCAAACTCAGCTGTTTGGATAGCTGACAGCACCTCCCTCATTTTTCTCTTCACTTCTACATCGTCAAATTGCTGTCCTTTCATGTCCCACTTCATTTGTGGAAACAAAAAGAAGTCTCACAGATTGAGGTCAGGTAAGTAAAGTGCATGGGGCAAGAGAGGCATGCTGGGTTATTTTTACCAAAAACTGGCGCACTAAGATGTCTGTGTGAGCTGGTACATTGTCGTGGTAGCAGAATTAGTCCCCCATCTGCCACAAAGCAGGCCTTTAGTGTCACACACTGTTACGCAATCTTTTCAGAACCTCTAAATAAAAAGCTTGATTAACAGTCTGACCTGGTAGAGTGACTTCAAATGCACTATCCCCCTCACATCAAAAAACAAGTGAGCAGCAGGTATTTGGGGGGCACCCCCTGGTAGTCTTGGTGGTGTTCTTTTGGGACCTCTCCTGTTTGAGGTTTGTTCTGCTTCTTGAATGTCTATCCACCACATACCTATCAAAACTCTTCAACTATATCCTGTGCTTTATTTCATCAGGATTGGGGGCAGGGGCAGAGAAAGGGTGTCTCTTCCTGTTTTGGAATTCTGATCACACACATAAACTATTCCTCTTGATTGTCTCACATAATTGTTAGATGCTCTTCATTTTCTTTCTTCTGATTGTTCTTCTACCAGATTATTGAGAAATGTGTCTTCAATTTCACTGTTATTGAAAGACAGAAGTCTTTCAATCATTAATTCTTTTTATATTCATTAATTCTATTTTACCTTTTCAATGCATTATTACTAAAATTCTGGTTTTGTATGTTTTATAATTTTTTATTTATCTTGCCAGTTTGTTCTAACACTGATTTCCTACCATTCCTCTAAAGTTTTATCTATGTTTTCCTTCATTTTATCTATAGCTTCCTCAAACCTTTTCTTAATCTGTTCATTGTACCTAATATTATTCTTTTGAACCCCATATCAAGGTACTTCCTCAGGAAAGTTTTCTGGCTCTGTATATTCATTCCTTGTTTGAGCCACTCTACCTGGTTACTTTATGTGAACTGAAATTGTCTGTCTCGGAGACACTATGGTTGTTATTATATTTAACTGGTGATTATATGGTGAGTTCTTAGGCACTCACCATCTATCTCCTGAGGGTGGGGATAGAGGTTTTTTAAATAATTAAGATAACTTCCATAATCAAAATGAACCTGTATACTAGGTTTACAGTGTGAATGACTTAGAGCTCGTACGACACCTGAGTGAAAGCTTTCATACAGCACTGACCTAACTTTCACAAAGGGAAAATCCTACTCAAATAATGAAGAGATGTTAAAGGTTTAGTAACATGCATTCATTTAGCCATACAACCTAAAATGGGACAACTTAAAATACATTTTACTACAAATGGTTTAGGTTACTTTCTTTCGTACTTATCTACTGTTGTTATAACACAAACAGCACAAATGGATGGCTTTAATGCCAGAAACTCATTTTCTCACAGTTTAGAAGACTAATAGTTCAAATTCAGAGCACTGCCTCTTGGGGAAGGTCTCTTCAGCCTCTTTTGCCTTGGCTCCTGGGTGAGCTTCAGGTGGTATTAGGAGGTCTCTTTCCACATCTCTTATATCTGATCTTCCATCTTTTATATCACAAAAGAGCGACTCAAGACAGACTGTGTCTCATTAACAGAACAAAGAACCCTTTCTCAAATGGGATACTAACTACAGGCATAGAAGTTAAAAATTAAAATACATAGGGAAAGGAAACAATTGAATCCATAACAGCATGCTAATCAAAACTTGTAACTATTATTCACGGAGTAATATATAATTCATATATCCCTGTTGCCCAGCCTCATTCTGCCTCTACACATCAAATTCACAATTCAAAACATCAAAAGAACTATAGAAGGAAAAATGACAAAAAATACACACACACATTTTAAAAAGAAAACTTGGTTAATCATTTTCTTTCTTTAAATATTTCAAGTTTTAAAACACAACATAGCATTCTTAAATATACTTAGGGTTTACACTTAAATTTTTGTTTGCACTAATGAGATGCAATGCTATCTAGCAGACTCTGGATTTCTGAGACTATCCCAGCAACATTAAACGTTTAAGGCACGCCATAATCTGTAGCACTGCTGAGGCAAAAACACAGAAAGTCCTAACTATGACGTTGATGTGTGAGAATGAGAAAACAACACCAAGACAGCCAGCACACCCTAACCCACCTTCGTCATACTCCAGCTGACACACCTGGCGTAATTCTACGTATGTACAGTATTCAAAGGCCTTAGTGTCTATTCCTTTTGAATGCTAAAAACTCGACTGTACTTATTATTAATTCTAGCATCGCTCTATGCCATAAAATAACATCCACTATTCATAATGCATTACTACAAAATACTCTCACAGGCCCCATCAACCCTCAATCCCCACATTCACCAATTTAAAGACAGCTGTTGCCGTACCTGCCCTTCAGGTTCTCAAGTTCCCTGTGGTGCAACATGCTCCGCATATGTTCGTCCATCTCCTTCAAAATGAAATAAAACAGATTACACTCAGGTGATTACTTAGAAAAACAATTCTTCTCTTCCTATTCGATGAACATTCAAGGTTTGAGTTAATTGTGCCATGATGTTTTTGTTTGTTTTTTTTTTTAGGTTTTTTCAAGATTTTTTAAAGTTATTCTTCTAATTCAATATTGAAATCAGTTCCTTATTAAATATGCCTTTAACAGTGTTTGACAAGAACCCACTGCAACTGAGCCCATTCCAACTCAGAGTGACCCTATAAGGCAGAGTAGATGTGCTTCCCACGGTTTCCCAGGCTGTAAATCTTTACAGAGACAGAAAGCCTCATTTTTTCCAGCAGAGCAGCCAATGGATTCGAACTGCTGATCTTGCGATTAGGTCCAACGTGCAACCCATTATGCTACCAGGACTTACTTCATTCCAAATAAAGTAACTTATTAAAAAAGGCATATTTAAGATTGTTTCCAAAAAGATTAGAAACCATATTGTCTTTAGACACAAAAGATTTAAGAATAAAGAAGGTGGGTAAAATTCTATACCATTATAATGAATTTACTAAAGCTTATTTGAAAAGAAAAAGAAAAATACCTCTGAAATCATAAAACTTCTCAATTACTTGGTTACTTTTCTGCATATCCCCTTTATCCATTCAACTCTGAGTTTCCCAAGAGTAAGCTGCAATTCCTACCTACGTTAGTGGGACCAAAGCCTGGCATATAAACCAGATGGAGACACATCAATTCTTGGTAGAAGTCTCAGATTTAACAATGTCTATATGGGGGAAAAGGAAGTTTAAAAAACTACTTTGAACACTGCGGCTCAATCATGCCTTCATCCTTCAGTGTCCACTGCCCCAAGGTTGATTTGTTTGGTTCTAATGAAAAGTTTGAAAATTAACTAGGGTCGGGTACAGGGTAGCAACGATGAAATATACAACTTTCCTCTAGTTCCTAAATGCTTCCTCCCACCCACTATCGTGATCCCTACAAATCTAGCTAGACCAGAGGATGTACACTGGTACAGATAGGAACTGGAAACACAGGGAATCCAGGGCAGATGATCCCTTCAGGACCAGTGGTGTGAGTGGCGATACAGGGAGGGTAGAAGAAGGGAGGGTTGGAAAGGGGGGTCCGATTACAAGGATCTACATGTGACCTCCTCCCTGGGGGATGGGCAACAGAAAAGCGGGTGAAGGGAGACGTCGGACAGTGTAAGATATGACAAAATAACAATTTATAAATTATCAAGGTTCATGAGGGAGTGGGGAGCGGGGAGAGAGGGGGAAAAATGAGGAGCTGATGCCAGGGGCTTAAGTGGAGAGCAAATGTTTTGAGAATGATGAGGGCAATGAATGTACAAATGTGCTTTACACAATTGATGTATGTATGGATTATGATGAGTTGTATGTGCCCCTAGCAAAATGAATAAAAAAATTTTTTAAAAAGAAAGAAAATTGACTAGGGCCACCCCACATTCCAGTCTCACTCATAATAGTAAAGTAATAAAATCTGTTAACAAAACACCACTAAAACCCTGCACCACAGATTCAGGTGTAGGTTCCTTTGAGTGGGTTCCCACTCGTAGTGACTGCAGTGCACAACGGAGTAAAACACTGCCCGGTCCCGTGGCAGCCTCACCACTGTTGACAAGTTTGAGCTCAATGTTAAAACCACTGTGTCAAATCCTCTCGCTACATACCATCCTCCCTTTCATTTACCTGCCACACAGAAAGTGTGATGTCCTTCTGCAGGGACTGGTCCCTCCCAATAAGATTGTATTGAGAATTAAATTCGTACCTAACATATAGTAAGGGCATAACAAATACTATCTATTATACTATTACTCTGCTTAAGGCAAATTCTATTCTCGGTGCCTGGCAGTCTTAGATCCTCCCAGAAAAAGAACTCAACAATTGCTGAATATTCTTTTTTCCAAGAATATGCTAATGGAGAGCTGTCTGCATTATTTCTTTTTGTTATTGTTTAAGTATCATTTTATTGGGGATTCTTACAACTCTTTATAACAATCCGAACATCAAGTGTATCAAGCATATTTTTACATGGGTTGCCATTTTCTAAACAGTTACTTTCTATATGGGCCCTTGGTACAAGCTCCTCTTTCTTCCCTCCCTCCAGCCCATTCTTGTAATCCCTAGATAAATCATAAACTATTATTATGTTCATATCTTAAAAAGAAAATGCACCACTTAAAAGCGCACACACACCAAACTCAAAAGGCTGTTCTTTTGTCTATTCTTTTGTCAGTCCAAAGCACGCATCTAGCATGCCCTACTAGAGAACAGCTGTGTAGAGGTCGTGAAAGAGCTACTGTGATTGTTATTACTATTTATCAGGCTAAGTCACAGGATCCATGGTGGTGCAGTGAGTTAAGCACTGGGCTGCTAACCACAAAGTTGGCAATGCAAACCCACCAGTTGCTCCAATGGAGAAAGAGAAGGCTACGTGCTCCATAAAGATGTACAACCTTGGAAACACTATATATAGGGTCGCTATGAATCAGAATCAACTCAATGGCAGCAGGCTTGGGTTGGGGTTTGAAAACAGAAAGGTCAGCAGCTTAAATCCACCAGCTGTAATGCAGGAGAAAGAGGAGGACGGAATCCGCTTCCCTAAAGATTTACACTTTCAGAAACTGTGAAGCAGTTCTACTGTCCTGCAAGGTCACTATGACTCAGAAAGAGGTTACTCTAAGTCAGAAAGTGGATATGGCTTTCTTTTGATACAGGTACTTTAAATTATATTCTCAATTGAACCTCAGAACACTTCTGAGGGAGTATTGCTAATTCAGAAAACTCAAAGATGCAGTGAAGTTCATTCATTCAGCGAATATTCAGCATGTGCCAAGCAGGACTGCTGGCATACTGGTTAAGCGTTGGGTTGTGATTCGAAAGGTCAGCAGTTCTAAACCACCAGTTGCTCGGAGGGAGAAAGATGGGACTTTCTACTCCCTCAACAGTTACAGTTGTGGAAACTCTCCCACAGCAGTTCTCCCCTGCCCTAGAGGGTTGCTATGAGTCAGCATCAACTCATGACAAGTTTGGTTTGGGATTTTCATAAGTGCCAAATATTGAGCTAGGCACAGAGATCCTTCATTTATATAAACATTTGTCAAAAAGAAAATATGTTAACAAGTCATTTTTACTTTACAATCTCTACTACAGTGAGACAAACAAGGTTGCGATTCAAAACACTGCCATTGTACTGAAAGTGATCATCATTTCCTTCCTATCTCTACAGATGCTTCATCCAAAGGGAACCGCTTTGCATGTAGCCCATCCCTCGCTACAAATGGCCTCAAACTGAAATAACATGTAAAGCTGAAAACAAAATCCAGTTAGTAACAGAGAGAACAAAATCCACAGTAACACACAACACCTACTGAAGTCCCTCTGCTTGCTGCTGTTAGGTTTGCCTGGCTGTAGATTGGTATTTATATGGGAAATCCTGAGGTAATGTGAGGGAGCTCTAATCCTGATAACCAAACCATTCCTGACAAAAAGGGCAATGTCAGAAATGTGTTACTTTTGGGGATTAGAGCCAAGTTTATATGCTGTTTCAGTTATAACGATGCTATCATTCAAAACTACTTTTATACCCTAAGACAAACTTCAAGTCTAGAAGTGAACCCTATCCCTGATGGTCAACTTTCAGCCAAACAATTGCCAGGCCTATCAAGTGAAGGCTGACACCAGAGAGGAATGCATTCTCCAGCACCAAAAATCCTCTGAGAGCAGAGGGGCAGCAGGAAGAAGGATGAAGGGAGCCAGGGAGGATGTGCAAAGAGAACGGTTACATTGAGAGCATTGCAACTAATGTCACAAAATAAATTGTATCAATTATTGAAAGGAAAACAAATTTGCTCAGTAAAATTTTGCTCAATTAAAAGCAGTAACAAAAAAATTAGTTTTATAAAAGAACAAATACTACAAAATCTCACTGATATAAAAAGATAAGAAAAAAATAAAAAGACAAGAAAATGTATACAGAAAAAAGTTTATGTGTTGTTACCGGGGGGCAAGTTAATAGTGATTAATGGTGATAAAAATAGTTCTTTGACCTTTGTGTTTTATTAATTAAAAAATATATATTTCTTTGATAAGGTTAGGGTTACATGGCCAATTACTATAATTATTGTCAATAATTTATACATCTGTAAAAAGTTGAATTAGAAAAAGTGGCATAATAGATATATTAAAAACAGTAACTGCCATAGCTGTTTCTGGACAACCCAAAATCTCACGGGATTTGGTTTCCTGGTTTCAAGACTTAAGGTCATGGTTTCATGGGACAACCCAGTTGTTTGGCCTAAAAAATGGTTAGTGCCTCTGTTCTACCTCCTAGTTGGAAGTGCAGTGCCGGGGGTCTTCAAACCTTGCAAGAGGCCATCCACGGCACAATAACTGGTTTCTACTCACCTGGAACAAGAGGAAGAAGTCAGGAAGAGGAAGAGGATAAGCAGTATGTGGCTACCTGCCTCCATGAACAACTGCCTCCTTTGCCATGAGGCCAGAACTGGATGGTACCTGGCGACTGTTACTAAACATTCTGATGTCAAGATTCTGTAGAAGAATCCTGACAAAAAGGGAGGAGATGCTGAATAGAATCTCAAATTCTCATGGACTCTAGTCTGCTTGGAGCCATAAATGTGAGAGGAACTCCCTGATATAATCTTTAAACTTTAAGCCAAAAGCATTCCCCAGTCTTTTAAAAACCAATTAATAGTTTAACCTTGTAGAAAGTCTGCCTTGAACATTATACTCTTAAGAAGTATCCATATGTGATCAAATTGACAAAAGCAACTCAAAAGATCAGACAGAAACCAGTGAATTTGTTAATATGGGAAGACCAACTCATAAAATGAAGGTGAAAATGGTTATACTACTTGCAGAATATAATCAATGTCAATATAATAAATGGTATGTGTAGAAATTGTTATATGTTTTGCTGTGCATATTCTCAACAACAAATAATAACAGAATATTTTCCAAAATACTAATTTTCCAATATGCTTTACTAATCTCTTACCAAATTTATATGTGAACTCCTATCCCATACTGCTCCAAGGAATGAATGCAAATAGCGAGACTGCTATGCTTTCAAAATATCTGGGGAAGGTCCTCAGACATAAGGCTAAAACAATAGCCCCAAATGAGTACTATGAGTACTTCCTATTTGATCCCTCATGTCAGGGGTCCTCAATCTTTTTAAACAGGGAGCCAGTTCACTGTCCCTCAGACCCACTGGAGGGCCGGACTATAGTTAAAAAAACAAAAAAAACAACTATGAACAAATTCCTATGCACACTGCACATATCTTATTTTGAAGTAAAAAAACAAACAGGGCAAAAACACCCGGTGGGCCAGACAAATGTCCTCAGCGGGCCGCATGTGGCCCGCGGGCCATAGTTTGAGGACCCCTGCCTCATGTGTTAATCAATACAAGTAGCCCTCAGTTTATGAAATTCAATGATGAACCACTCTTACAACCGACTGTATTTTATGTGTGTGCATCTTATTATAACACTATATATTACAATGTTGTCATATCTGTACATTTATAGGTAATATTTCCAACCCAAATAAAGATTGGCTATATGAAGATACTAGTAATAAATGCCAAGAATAATGAAAACTAAGAAAAAAATTAAGGCATTTGACTTATGTCAGAAGTGACAGGACAGTCATCAGAAAGGAAGGCTATCTGTCAATCAGGTCGCAGCCCCATGACCTCATTTGCACGCACCAGAGATAAGTGGCTCACTGGAGGCCAGAAACACAAACACTCCCTGTGAGACATTCCTGCTGACAAGACTCATGGAGCTGGAGGAGCCACATGGAGACCCCCCGCCAGCACTGAGATGCCACTGGATCCATAAAACTTTCCACCCAGTGGTCTGCAATCTTCCTGCACTCGATGTCATTGGATGTCTTGTGTGAATCTGAAGAGGAATTTATACTTGACCTGGACTGGGCTGGGCTGTTTTCTTAATACACAATTACTCTTTGACATAAAGCTCTCTCTTCTACACATTGAAAAAAAAGAAAGGAAGGTTGTGGTCAGCCTGGGACTATATGCTTTGTGTTTGAAAGCAGAGGGCTAAGGAGCAAAAACAAGTTATCTCCTGGTTGAACAAATCTAGAAAACACAAAGCAATGCAAGAATTAACATGAACTTATCAATCCTTCCAAGCAAATGAGCATCAGCACACTCAAAGGTATCATATTCACCTTTTCTCCATACTCCTGTCCCCCTAGAACCTTCTCTTCCCCTCGGTATATTTGGAGAAACCAGCGTTACACTAGTTTGGGTAACAAGAGGAAGGCAATCAAAGCATCAGTTATGACTTCCAATGCAGCCATACTGTTCATGTCTTAGACCATCTTACTGCTAACACTTAAGTCATGGCATCCATTTTCTTACAAACTACAGAGGCTCCATCAGGCAGGCGAAGATGAGCTGGGCCTTTGCTTTAACGTCACTGTGACCCATGGGAAAGTATCAGGAGAGGGAGATATTTTTTAAATCAGCGAATAACCACACACCAGAAAGACCGAAACAGCAAAATCCTGAGTTGCAGGAGTGCTGCCCCAGGAAGCCTTGCACCACTCTCAGCGTCTGCCTTGCAGCTCACGCCGTCTTTCTCCTTTCTCCTTCCAACCTGAGAGCAGCCACGTGAACTGTCCACTTATTTACATATGTGCTGTAGGCTATATTTTTAAAACCAGAAGGACAGAATGCTCCTTTACTTCGGTGAAAGGTAGGTCTAACATTAAACCTGATTTTTACATTTCAACTACCTTTTCTATTACTATCAGAAAAGGGGGGGGGGGCATCTCAAGTCTACTTGGTAGATCATGATTAAAGCACTCAGTGTGCGTTCAGCACTGCTTATCAACAATCTTCGTTTAAGTCACTGAGTACTTACTATTTCCAAAATGAAACTGTTTTCCTCAGATGAGCCTTCTTATTGTCTCCTACAACAGGCACACTCATCTAGCTGTGCCTTTGCTCATGCTGTTCTTTCACCTAAAATCGCTCTCCCCATTGTTCTTCAACTATCTTAATCGTAAGTATTTCTCCTGGTTCACCACTTCGTTGCTAACCTAGTCCATAAATAGTCTTCCCAGCAATCTGCCTTTCCAATGACAATCTGAAAAGCAGAGAAAGTGTCCTCAGTATTGAAGCCAAGCAAATGATAAAGGCGAGAAAACCAGACACAGAAACCACCAGTAGTTTCTGCAAAACACAGGGGAATTCTTTCTCTGAGCAACATCCCCACCTTGTGGACACCTAGGATATTGTTGCTACCATCTCTTGTGTATAAACAGAATGTGGGTGGGTACATGTAACAAATTCTGCTCATGACACAGATATGCTTAGTTACGTAATCGGAAAGTAGTACACATCCAGTAATCTGAACTTTAAGTATTTTCTCTGTGATTCTCGAAATTTCTCTGTATCGTCGTATTTATGCATCTTTAATTTCTAGACGGAGGTTTAACATAGCTACTGGCTTTATGAGGCAATGATGAGAAAGAAGCAGTGGAGTGAGGTTTAGGGAAGAAGCATCCTAAGATGCTGTTACAAGCTTTTACTCATCTAAGTCCGACACAAATGTCTCAGATTCTCTTCTTCCATCATTACCTTTTTTGAGCTGTACACAATGTGGCACAATATGCATTTTCGTTCTCGTACCATAGTGACCAGATCTGAAGCACTCAACGTCACGCCTGCAAGGAGGAAGGAACATTTAGTCGTCTTTTTTTTTAATCTCTCCCAGGTGTCTTTTTAAATACATCTTTTTCTTTTAATTAATTATTTTATTGGGGACTCTTACATATAACAATCCATACATCCATTCTATCAAGCGGACATGGACAAATGCATCAACAATTTCAAAACATTATCTTTCTTCTTGAGCCCTTTGATATCAGCTCTTATTTATTCCCTCTCTCCCCCACCCTACCACCCCCACAAACCCTTTAATATTATGTACTGTTATTATTATTTAATACCTATCTGACACCTCCCATTCTATCCCTTCACCTATCCTGGTATTCATCCCCCTCAAGGGGGGTTATTCCACCATCATTGCTATCCATCCTCCTACCCTTCAAATCACATCTTAACATAATCAAAACACCCCAGCTCCTTCACCTTTACCCAGGTACCGGGGCAAAAACTATGTGAGCTTTCCGTTATCTTTCTCTTTTTCACTCTAAATCCATGAACAGCAACAAATCCTGTCAGTCAGTCTTCCCTAGAATTATCTCGAAAAATCCAGTCAGTTCTCACTACCTGGCACATACTGAGACATGCTGTCAGAAGAGACCAGTCCTGGAGGCAGACATCATGTTTCATAAAGTTGAGTGGCAGCAAGAGAGAGGAAGCCCCGCAAGGAGATGGACTAACACCGTGGCTGCAACAATGGGCTCAGGGACAGGAACCATGGTGAGCATGGCACAGGATGGGGCAGTTTTGTTCTACTGTGCATCAGGTCACCAGAGGTCAGAACCGACTTGGTGGCTGGCACCTAACAACAGCAGCAGCAAGTCTATCATCTCCCGGCATTAAGCCTACTGATTCACCTCCTGCCTCCCTTCTTGTCCTCTTTCAGTCTATTCTCAAAACAGCAGCCACAGAGTTTCACAATGGAATCCTTTTACATTTTAAGCAGATCATATAACTCCTGCACTCAGAATCGTACTGACTGTGGTTTGGGAGTATTACTAACAATCTAACTGAAGATTAACATAAATCATTCTGGTAGTGTTTCACAGCATACTTATTCTTTGTATTCCCTTTATCTTAGCATTGAGGGAGCCCTGGTGATATAATGGTTACGTATTGGACTGATAACCATAAGGTCAGTGGTTCAAAACCACCAGCCACTCTGAAGGAGACAGATGAGGCTTTCTATTCCCACAAACAAGTGACAGTCTCTGAAACCCACAGGGACAGTTCAACCTAGTCCTGTAGGGGGTAGTTCTACCCTGTCCTACAGGGTGGCTGAGTTGGCATGAACTCAAGACAGTGAGCTATCTTACTTAGCCTTGATCTCAGCTTTAGTTACTACTTATACACAGGGGCTTTTTTGGTTGGTTTGGTTTGTTTCATTCAACAAATACTTATTGGGGTCACTGAGTTCTCATCAACTCAATGACAGGTTTTGGAAGCAATGCCCTAAGAGTTGAGGAAACAATAGTGAAGAATATATGCTCAGATATGCTTCAAGTTAGTAACCATCAAAATAAAACAAACATAAAAAGGATAGAGGCCATTAAATCAATGATAAAAGTGACTTTACAGCAAAAGCAACATCAATTACTGTGAAGTTTTTATGATGACCCAAGTTGAGAAATAAACATAAAATACAAACTGTGCTTCTATTTAACAAAGCCAAAGGCATCACCCTTGAGTAAACGGATAAAGAAATAAAGCCATATAATAAAAAAAGTCTATCAACATTTAGCCAAAGTTCTCCTCTTTCTAAGAACCGTGGTGGCAGAGTGGTTGCGCGCTCAGTGGCAGAAGGGCGATTAACATTCGGCTGCTATCAGGAAACCCCGTGGGCAGTTCTATGTGCTACAGGGCTGCTATGAGTCAGAATCAACTCAACATCAGTGTTTGGGTTTTTTGGACCTCCTATTTTTTTTCTTTTTTACTCTTCATGTTTCTAAAGGTATCATATCCTAATCTGCACATGTGACATAAATTTTCACTTTTTAAAAAATAAAAAAGTATAACTGCTAGCAAAGTTTCTACTCAATACGACTTAATATCTAAACACTGAACTGATATAATTCCAGCCAAAGGAAAGAAACTTTAATTAGTATGTCCTCAAATGTATGATTTCATAAAGATTCCTGAAATACTGCAATTAGCTCACAACCCTCTAGATCTGCGGTTCTCAACCTGTGGGTTGCGACCCCTTTGGGGTGGGGGGTGTGTCAAACGATCCTTTCACAGGGGTCGCCCAATTCATGACAGTACCAAAATCACAGTGACTAAGTAGCAACGAAAATAATTTTATGGTGGGGGGGGGCCACCACCACATGAGGAACTGTATTAGAGGGTCGAGGCATGAGGAAGATAGAGAACCGCTACCCTGGGTGTAAATCACTGCGCTCTCTCTCTGAAGTCCTTAACCAGGAAATGCGCAGCACTCAACTATGCGGGATCTCCAAGGGGCTTGAGAGGTTACCAGACATCAGTCAAGTAAGCGTACATAAACAAGTCAACCACTGTCACCCTCATTTTACATTTCTCCCATCTCAATTAAATATACCCACCAGGAAATCGTTCAACTTCCCCAAATAACTATCCCTTATACTAAGTTTCTGAACTGTTTTTGTCAGTATAATTACCATTCCTCTTAGGCAAAACCCTATCATGCCAGATACTTTTTTTTCCTTCCACTCTCATAGTTAGCCAATAAGTCCTAACAAATTTATCCATTTTCATTCTCAGTTCCCCATGTGATAAGTCTGTGTGACTTCGCAGGAGTCCTTCGTCTCTCCCTGCCCCGTAGCAGTTCTGGTCACACGGTGGGTTCAGCGTCAAGCTGCTAGCTGAAGCTGTTCTGAGGCTGAGAGGTGCTTCCACAAGGATGGACAAGCCCCGGACCTATGGAGCAGCTCTGCTTGGTCCTACGGGATGGCTAGGAGTCAGACGTGACCCAGTGGCAGCAGGCTTGCTTCTTGGTTTACCCCTGCCCTCACTGTAAAACCAGCTCTAAACCCCAGGGTTGCATCAGAATCACCCTGCTTAGTTTATTAAGAAGAAACACAGCTGAGTGGGCGCCTTAGAACGTTTGACTTAGAACCCCAAAGAGCCCCACTGTGCAGTTCACTCTGCTTTCCTCAACCTTATGCAGGCAGACCTCAGAGGACATGTGGGTTCCACTCCAGGCAAAGGTCACAATAAAGCAAATCACATACATTTTGGTTTCCCAGTGCAGGTAAAAGTTATGTGTACACTGTACTGTGGTCTACTCAGGGTGCAAGAGCATTATGAAAAAACCTGCAAATGTTTCTGAGAATTTCCAAAGCGTGATAGACACAAAGTGTGCACAAGCAGGGGGGGAAATGGCACAATAGACTTGCCCGATGCAGGGCTGCCACACCTTCAATTTGTAAAGAGCAGAATTCCTGCACTTAATTACCTGCACTATAAAACAGAGCGCACCTACACCTGGGGAGCCACTTGAAAGTGACTTAAATGGATGCGCAAAACAACTATCCAAGAAACCACTTATCTCATAGGCCTGTGGGTCCATCTCAACCGTCAGTGCCACCGAGATCTTTCTCATAATATTATGGCTGTAAAACACATCCCATGGCAAAGAACGTTATCGAATCAAAGCAGTGTCATGTTATTCCACGTTATTGTACAAAGAACTTGCAAAATAAGCAAGTACAGTAAGAGTGGCTCTTTGATAGCAGGTACATCTGGTCTCTTTAAAGAGACCAACCTCTTTATATGCCCCATAACATTCAGTACAGGTGGCTGGGCAGGTAAATGCAAAGGGTTGGCACATGGAATCCACCAGAGGCACCTCAGAAGACAGGCCTGACAATCATCTGCTAGGCCATAGAAGCCCGCAGAGCAGTTCTACTGTCCTGGGGTCCTCCTGAGATGAAATCGACTCCACGGCAACTCACAACATAAACAACAAAGCCCGCTGATACTCGAGAACTCTGAATTTGGACAGAGTTAAAGGCAACTCAGATTACACATGACAATGATATACCATAAAACATTCAAGAAAAAAAAAAAAGCTTGACCGTTTTGTCTAAGGGGTGGTAGTACTCAAGGTCATAGCCATTTTCTAGGCACCAAGTGGACTTCTGGTGAGCAAGATAGGACAACAGGGAAAGCACATTCACCTGCAGAACAAGTTTTTGTCAACTAAAGTCACCGAGATTAAGGAACAAATACATGACTGACACTTCCAGGAGGCCCTCAACTTGTAGAGCTATTGGGACAGGTGGTCCAACTCATCGTGACGCTATTGCAACAGAACACTTCTGGTCCTCCACCATCCTCAATCATTGCTGTTTCAGCCCATTGCTGTAGCCACTGTTGTTCATCCATCTTGAGGCTCTTCCTCTTTTTTTGCTAACCCTCTACTTCACCAAGCATGAAGTCCTTCCCAGGGACTCATCCCTCCTGCAATCATGGCCAAAATACATGAGATGAAGTCTGAGTGGCAGGAGGTTTGGTACCTCTTTAACAACTTGTCCAAATTGCACGGCAGTTTTGCCACCCTTCCTTCTAAAAAGCATTCTGGCTCTACGTCTCCAACACAGATTAGTTTGTCCTTCTGGTAGTCCATGACAACTTCAATCACTTTCACCAACACCATAATTCAAATGCATCAACTATTTTCTGCTCTTCCTGATTCACTGTCCAGCGTTCACATGCCTTTTGGGTCAGGCAAATTTTCGTCCTTAAAGTGACAGCTTTGCCCTTTTAAACTTTGCAGAGCTTTTGTGTAGCCGATTTGCCTAATGACATTATTTGATTTCTTGACTGCTGTTTCCGTGAGCAATATTTGAGGATCCAAGTAAAATAAAATCCTCCAGGTGAATCTTTTCCCCATTTATCATAATGTTTCTTGGTCCAGTTGCAAAGATTTTTGCTTAGCCTGGGTAGGACTATGCAAATATGTTTGTAGCCCACCAAGAGAATTGGAAAGTTTGCTAACGATGCAATTGAGAGGCATGGC